GGACGTATTTGTCGGCCGCATCGGAGGAGTCTTCGGTTTGGGACAGCCTTCGTCGCGGCGCTGTGATGTATGCGGTTGACGAATTTGGTCTTAGGAGGACCCGGCCTGTCGTTTTGAACACAGCCAAAATGTCGCTGTGAAGGAGGCTAAGCTAAGAAGCTAACCGGAAATCACCCTAACTAAGAGGACAAAAGTACCAAGCCGAACGAGTTGACTGTAAATGAGAGCTGCTGCTTTGTCAGACAAATTTATTTTAATTTGGAAGCCTTATCAACACGGACTGACTTCATTCACTTCCTCCACTGCCGTTTGCTAAACTAACTAGCAGACACTGCGCAGAACATCGACGTTCTGTTCTCTGATTGGTTCGGCTAAAAATCTGCCAGCGAAATCGTTGTCTATGGGAGAAATCCCAGACGGAGCAGAGAAGGGAAACCAGAATTAAGCAGAGCTGCGTAGGAAGGCAAGGACCAGGCTAATTGGAAACAGGTGTGTGTTATGATTTAAGTATAAAGGGAGCATCCTCGAAAGGCTCAGTTGTTCACAAGCAAGAATGGGGTGATGTTTACTACTCTGTGAACCACTGCGTGAGCAAATAATCCAACAGTTTAAGAACAGCATTATTTAACATATAATTGCAAAGAATTTAAGGATTTCATCATCTACAGTCCATAAAATCATGAAAAGATTCAGAGAATCTGGACAAATCTCTGCGAGTAAGCAGCAAGGTCAAAAACTAACACCGAATGCACATGACCTTTGATCCCTCAGTTCGAACTGCATTAAAACTGACATCATTCTGTAACAGATATTAGCACATGGGCTCAGGAACACTTCAGAAAGCCATTGTCATTGAACACAGTTCATCTCTACATCTACAAGGGCAAATTAAAACTTTACCATGCAAAACCAAAGCCATATATCAACAACAACCAGAAACACTGACAGCTTCTCTGGGTCGAGCTCATCTGAGATGGACTGATGCAAAGTGGAAAAGTGTCCTGTGGTCTGAGGAGTCCACATTTCAAATTGCTTTTGGAAATCAATAATGTTGTGTCCTCCGGGCCAAAGAGGAGAGGACTGTCCAGATTGTTATCAGCTCAAAATTCAAAAGCCAGCATCTCTGATGGTATGGGAGTGTAATAGTGCCCATGGCAGGGGTAACGCACCATTAATGCTGAAAAATACAAACAGGTTTTGGAGCAACATATACTGCCATTCAAGCAACTTCTTTATCAGGGACATCCTGCATATTTCAGCAAGACAAGCCACTCTGTGCACGTGTTTCAACATCGTGGCTTTGTAGTACAAGAGTGCAAGTCCTACACTGGCCTGCAGTCCTGACCTATCTTCCAGTGAAAATGTGTGGCACATTATGAAGCACATAATACAACAACGGAGACCCAGGACTGTTGAGCAACTGAAGTTGTACGTTAAGCAAAAATGTGAAAGAATTCCACCTACAAAGCTTCAACAATTTTTGTCCTCAGTTCCCAAATACTTACTAAGTGTTGCTAAAAGAAAAGGTGATGTGACACAGTGGTAAACTGTCTCAGCTTTTTTTTGGAACGTGTTGCAGACATCAAATTTAAAATGAGTGAATATTTGCAAAAAACAATAAAGTTTATCCATTTGAACGTTAAATATCTTGTCTTTGTAGTGTATTAAATTAAATAAATGTTAAAAAGGTTTTGCAAATCGCCATGTTCTGTTTTTACTAATGTTTGACACAACATCCCAACTTCAGTGTAATAGTCTATATGCCACGGTCATTAATGAGGTATTCCTGGTAAAATTTTTGCCACGCTCCTCCCTTCCGCTCCCTGCTTACTGCCTATGTTTTTAGCTCCTAGTACTAGCCCGTGAAAAAGTCACAAAGGTTAAAGCATCTGTGATCTACTGGTATAAGACATGAGTTCTGTTGTGTGCCGTTGTGTCAACTAACCAGCAGGTACGATCGAGTAGTTAGTTTTTATCCTTTTTCCTTTAGATGAGGAGGTGACAGCAGAGGATCATAGCATTACAAGGAAAACTTAGCTTTAAAAGCTCACACTTGCGTTTGTACAGTAATCGGCATTTCTAACCTGAGGATATTCAAGAGCCAGCATCAGAAATGAGAAGACGGAGGTTACAAATGAGAAATGTACAATTATCCCCTTTTACTGCCAAGACCGAGAGAGGAAAGACCTCCTTCTCACGACAGCTAGCAGAAAGCTAACACAGCAGCCGGTAAAGGTCGGTGTATGTGCACGTGTTTGTGTTATATGAAATGTTTTTATGCGACTTTGTCATGAGTTTTATGCAAAAGTAAAACCTCGTTAGAGTGTATATTAC